TTTTTTTTTTTTTTTTTTTTTTTGGTAGCTGAGAGTAGATAATTGTTTAGCTTTGGGTAAAACTTTTTACCCAGCCGTCCAATCAATGGAGGAGAGGCGGAACAAATTCTACACCGACCAATCATCCTACTTATTCAACTACTGAACAACAATAGAGAAGTTAATATTGCTGGTTACTGCATTTTATATTCAGTAATATTCTTCAAAATTAGGTACTAGTAATACGTTACTGCCGTGGATATTCCAAATCATAGCAACCAAAGCGCCTCTGGGAAAAACGCTGTGCCACCAAAGCATTCTCAAGCACCACCAGCTGGCCGTTTTTAGAAGAATGCCTGACATTTTTTCAGCTGGCTAAAAATGTTTTGGTGGACACACGTTATTGAACATTTATTGTTAGGCATATGGCCTGTTAGTCTTTTTAGCATGTATGCAATATACTGGAGCCAAACCTGAGAAAGTAGACCAGAATATTCCACTGCGTTCCTGGACACGCAATTTGCGTAGCTGTAATTATAGGCGGGGATTATGCTAATTGTGAATGAGCGTGCACGAGCGCCCTATTTACGAATGACTGGAATTCATTAACATATACACGTGTTTAACTATCAAATCTGATGTGTAGGAAGCGTTTGTGAATCCGGAGGAGAGTTTTCCGGGAAGGTCTGTTTTACGCGCGAATTACTCAGAATTTACTCCTATATTTACGAATGTTTCATGAATGAGGCCCAATGTGAGAATGCTGTTGTGCATTGGTTGCCTTAAACAACAAAGCAGTATAAGGCGGCAAAATGCATAATGTTGCTCGTCTCACTTTTATACTTTAATTTTTAAACTTTGGTTTTGTTTTAAAGCATTAGCACTCAATGGCAGTGTGTCTATCTGCTGTAAAAGTACTGCAAATTCTCTAGAAAGTCAAGAGTTGAGATGAAGTCAGAAAAGTAGAAATGAGATATACATGCATCAGTCCTACGTGTCAGGAAAGTGAGAGAGAATGCACACAAATGCACAGTTTTACCGAATCGTATGGCATCAGTAACGGTTCACTTCCACAATTTAGTACGAATGTTTGTATCAGCAGTGAAGCGTACCAGAGTTTTGTAAACTGCGTTCACATCCCATTGAACCAAACTTTGACATCAAACTCTGAAAGCACCCTTAAATGTTTTGGATGTAAAGTGTTCTATACAGTTTTGTAATGCTTATAATTGTTTATTGCAGGAAGAACTTGTGGAAATCAAAGAACTGCCAATTTCCAATGAGAGGCCAGAGTGTCTTTCAGAGAAATATGACAGGTGAACTTTTTATTTAGTGTTTGTTTGCCAGTTCAGTTTGAATATTTCTGAACGTTGCACCATATTATCTTGCATGAAGATCATAAGAAAATGACTGTTGCATGACTGTTGAATGACTGTTCTATTGTTGCATATCCTCTTGTATACCTAAACATGAAGTTTTTCACTGTGTTTTTTTTAAGCTTTGACAACTAGTATTGTCTGTCAAACTTTTGTCAGTGGCACTTAAGCACTTAACAGACAACTGTTTTCAAGTATTAGATGATCAAAGAGTCAATTTACAGCAGTCATTTGTTTGAATACTCTTAGTGAGACATTACTGTCTGATGTTTATTTAAATTTGCTTATATGGAGAACCTAAGCCTTGTATGTGTTAACGGGACTGTCTTCTTCATAGTGATGGGGTTTGGGACCCTGAAAAATGGCATGCCTCACTATATCCCTCTTCAGAAAACAGCTGTCCAGCAGAAGGATACAAGAAAGATTATGCAGAGGACAGAGTTCCGCTAAAACGCAGAATTGCAGGTAATTGGCCAAGACATTTCTGATGTTATTTGACTATCAAAACCTTGTTGCTGAAACAAAACCAGAATTAACTTTGTCTTCCCCAGATCCTCGGGAACGTGTAAAAGATGATGATCTTGAGGTGGTTCTTAGTCCACAGCGCCGTAGTTTTGGTGGTGGCTGTCAAGTGGCACCCACTGCCCTCCCTCGTCGCCCCATCAGCCCTCTGGAGAACAAAGAGAATGAGTCACTACGTTTGGGGGGAGCACGTCGCATAGGGAGTGGCCGTATCATTGCATCACGTGTATTTGAGAGGGACGCACGAGTTGACAAGGAGAGGGAACGAGACCGAGAACGTGAATTTAAGGACAAGAGATTTAGGGTATAGTGCTAAGGCTTTTTGACGCAAAGGAACCTTGCTATTATTGCGTTGTTCAAAGAATAAAACTTATTGTTTTCTGTGTTCTACTATAGAGAGACTTTGGAGACAAAAGAGTGTTCAGTGAGAGAAGAAGAAATGACTCCTATGCAGAAGAGGAGCCAGAGTGGTTCTCTGGTGGACCTACTAGTCAGTCCGAGACCATTGAGCTCATTGGCTTTGATGACAAAATCTTGGAGGATGACAAGCGGAGGACCAAACGTTCCAGGAAGAAGCCAGAGTCTATTAAAGAAGGCATGTATTGTACAAATGTAGGAAAATGCAAACACCTTAGAAATGCTTCAGTTGTTTGATAAGTGCATTTATCAGCATGCTTTTTTATTTTTTTATTTTTTTAAATCTTTCACACCTACAGTTGAATGTAATGGTGGGCTCTCTGGGGATCCTGAAGTAGTTCAAGAGTCAGGAGCTGATCAAGAGGTTCCACATGCTGAGGTTCTTCCTGAGCAAACCCCTGGAGAATTTGACTTCAATGAGTTCTTCAATCTTGAAAAGACCATGCCTGGCCTGGCTTCGGTAAGATATGGGGAGCACTGCATGCTTCTAAGGGTGATGGTCACAAAATATCTGGCTTGTCTAAAAGGGAGGATGAATAGACAAATCACTCCTCAGGTATTTTGGGGGTTTTGAGAAATGTTTGGTCGATGTCATTATTAGGGACTTTCTGGGCACTTTTTATTAGTCTATACTGAATACACTAAACTGAATGTAAGCCTTTTTGTAATTCTGCTCTGTACCGTTCACTGTGCTCCTTATACGTTTGTAAATCTTTAATAGTTGTTATTTTCCAGACAGATTTGTATTGCGGTACTTCTGATATGTCCGGGTGTGAGTCTCTATAATGAATCAGTTGTGAATATCTCGTCATTTGTTCGTAGCTTTGGATAAATGTGGCTACTAAATGAATGTAACGTTAGGTATTTATGTGTTTGTGATTGCGGAGTAGTTCAGCAGGCCTGTTTCGGATTCATATGTTGCTGTTGATGGCTGGTGTTAGAAATATGAGATTGTTGGTTTTGCAGTTGTGTGGCGTCAATCCATTTGTTGATTTTGAATTTGCTATACAGAAAGTTCAATGAAATGCAAATTTATGCCCATCTGACTTGCAAGGATTATATTGATACTTTTGGAACTTGGGATGGGGGGGGTTGTGCACATCATGGTTGTGCCAAATTATAGTTTAGATTTTGGAAATATGTGGGGATCTTGTAAATGAAACTATTCTCCAAAATGCCCATTTTTCACCCCGTTGCACTAAGCAGTCTGCAGACACTCTTCACGTTCATTACTTAAAAGATAGATTAATGTTTTATGCCTTAAAACAAAATGTAAATACACAACACAGAATTTCTGAGCAAAAAATCATAAGGCTATTGTAAGAATAAATTAAACTTGTTTTATGGTTTCAAATAATTAGACATGCTAAAACAGAATGTGGTTACAATAAAACATAAGGTTGGAAAAATTAAAACATTTCATAGGGCCCTAAACATGTAATATTTGTTAAACTTTTAATAAATTGATGTTAAATTGTTTAATTTTCATGATTTTAATGAATTAGGCATGCTTTTTGATTAATAAAATGTAATTTAACCATTAAAAAGAAGTCTCCCCCCACAAAAGCCGTAAACCTAGGGGAAACACTGACAGTATTTTGCAAAATTATACCGGTTTCACGGTACATGACGGTATTTTTTTTTTTCATGCATTTTTTTTTTTCATGCATGACCGGGTGTTAACCATATTTTCTACTGATTGAGAGAGGAAATACTGCAGTATATTGACTTAGAATATGTGGGGATCTTGTAAATGAAACTATTCTCCAAAATGCCCATTTTCACCCCGTTGCACTAAGCAGTCTGCAGACACTCTTCACGTAAGTGTCATCCACTCCCCATGGCTGTTTCCTGCTTCTGTGCTATAACAGTTTAAACCAGGGCTTCTCTTTCTTTCCCTCCAGATGATTGAAGATGTTCTTGCTGAGGGTCCTGTCATGGCCAGTCGTTTCAGTCGCTGGTTCTCCAGTAACAGAAGTCCCTCTGGCAGCCGCTCCAGCAGTCTACGTTCCACACCACACGAGGAGTTGGAGAGACTAGCAGGTAACCCTTTCCTATTCCAGTGCACAAACATGGATTTTTTTTTTTGCATATGCTGATTTTAAAAACTAGAGTCTGTTATTGGTATTCTTGCTTTTCCTTTTTGAACTCATTAGCTTAGCTTTTTTATTTTATTGTTTAATCTAACAAAATAATTTAGACGCCAGCAAAGAGCTACAAAAGCCATTTAATATTAAATGTTAACTATTTAGTTCAGTTGCCTTTTTTGTAACAATTTTATCTAGTCAGAAAAAGGTGCAAGTTTTAGATGCATTGACAATTGACCACACTTTTTTTTTTCCCCCAGCCATGAAACTGTATTTTGCATAAATATTAAGAAATGGTCCCTATGGCTGTTTGAGCCTAAGAAAGCAATTATTTAGCAATCTATTTTTATCCCCTTCCTGCAAACCATGCAAGTCTTGTATAATTTGGTTGCATGTATTAGTGCTGGGCGGTATGACCAAAAATTTATATCACGGAATGTTAACCAGGAGTCACTCTCATTCATGCATCTCAACATGCATCTACACTATGCGGTTGTTTTGGCTATATTTTGTCTCATGCAGCGCACTGCCTGCATCGGAGTAACAAACTAAAAAAACCAACAAACAAAAAAGTGCATGTGATATTAACAGACGAACTACGCTCATATTTATAATTCCAAACAATCAGAAATGGTCCCTATGGCTGTTTGAGCCTAAGAAAGCAATTATTTAGCAATCTATTTTTATCCCCTTCCTGCAAACCATGCAAGTCTTGTATAATTTGGTTGCATGTATTAGTGCTGGGCGGTATGACCAAAAATTTATATCACGGTCAGTGTTTCCCCTTCCATTATATTAGGGGGGCGGCCCGCCCCCCTTGAAGGTCAAGTTAATTTTATTTAATTATATTTTC